CGCGGCACGGCGCCACGCCGTCCGACTACACTGCTCCAATCAAGTTTCGGTTCCCACTCACGCGCTTAATGGGTTGCCGCAGCGTTCATTGCGCGCTGCCTTTCAAGAATGCGCCCTACGGCATAACATTCAGCGCGGGCACTGCCCGAGCCCAGTTGAGCGTGGAAGCAGTGGCTTCTACTTCACAAAAGGCTGTAGGGCTGGACACCCTGCAGCAGCCAAGTGGCTCCTGTGCCTACAGCCCTGGTGCCGGCACTGTCTTGATAGTGCAGAGTCTCCAGCGCAACTGCCATTTTTTCAGCAACCAGCTGTCATTGCGCTCGTGAACAATTGGACACGCATGCTGTCGCTCCCACACCTGGCCCGGCTCAGAAAGTGTTGTGTTCTTTGTGGTACATGGATCAAACCAAACCAAACCAACTAGCCGACCAGGCAAACAAGCACACAGACACATGTGACAACAAAAACAAGCAAGCTGACAAACAAGTGTTCAAACAAACAAACAAACAACAAAACTATGACTAGCGAAGCTGCGAAATCCAAAGTGGACATGACTCCCAACATACATAAGCAACAAGCTAACAAACAAACAAAGAAACGGAAAAGCACACGCGCACACGCGCACACATCCAAAAAATCTGAGTGGTTCCCAGCCCAAAGAGGAAAACTGCAAAGTCTGGCAAGGCTTCATGGAGGGTAGTGTTCGCAAGGCCCGTTGCCACTGCCCACCCCGCTCACAGGAGGAGATGAGAGCGCTGTAGCTGACGAGATCTGGCAAGATCCGTGCCTTTGGTGAAGTCAATGAATCAAATTGATTTAGGGCCCCCCATATTGGTCGAGCCGCAAAAGATGAATTCTGCCAAACCTGAAATAAGGATCCCCAAGTGAACAAGTGAAGGACATACATGGGTTTCGCACCTTTTACTCCCTTTTTGCCGGTGGAATCACGCGTAAAATGTGTCTTTTTGGGGTTGCGAAAGGAAACTTTGAGGAAACCACCCCAAAACAAGAACAACACCTCGAGTCGCCGTAAAAACAAGGTGTCTTTTTGTGGTTGCAACAGGAAACCAAAAGGAAACAACGACCAAAAACGCCGACTCGGCAGAATCGCATCCAGCTCCCGGGCCTCCGTCAGCACTTGGAACACCTCCAGGGTTGGCTGCCACCCGAACTCCCGTTGGTTTTTCCCCTTATACAACGGGGCGAGCAAAACGCGGTGGGAAAGTGCGCCTTTTCGGTACATGTCAAGCTTTCTGAGGTATTGTTCAACCTGGCAACCAAAAGGTGATCTTCATCACCACCCTTCGGGAAATCTGGGGAATTCTGCAGGGCTGGTTGTTCAATCGCGACCCCCAAAATGATGGGAGAGAGGGGTGAGCACTCTGAAATTTTCAGAGGGTTTGAACCCCCTCCCCAAAAAAGAAGGGGAAGCCCAGACCCAACAAAACACCCTGCAAAAAAAGGCGATTGGTCGCAAGCCACTGGGTCCCACTGGGTCTCATTTCGCCGCCCACCTCCAGCGCCTTGCGCCACAGCGCCGCCTTGCCGCAGGCGCTCAAACTCAGCGCATAGTGCCGCTGCTGAAGCCCCTTCCTCGGGAAGGGAAGCGATCTGGGTCTGCCAGTTGCTTCGCCTGGAGAAAAACATGAATCCACATATGGGAAAACATTGGTACATTCAAGGTTCCCTTAGAAAGAATGAAGCTGGAGGCGGCTTCAGTGCCAATCACCATTTGCTCATTTGGTTTGCATTTCTACTGTTGGTTTGAAAAAGGGACTCTGTCACTGACATATGGCCATGGTTCAAAACCAATGGTGCCTTTTTGGGATAGGTGAATTCACCACCCATTTTTGGACCTATTTTAGTGGTTGGATTGAATCGGAAGTTCACTGGGGGCTAACCGGGGTTTTGACCCATGGCCATATGTCAGTGATAGAGTCCCTTTAAAACCAACAGTGGAAATGCAAACCAAATGAGCAAATGGTGATTGGCACTGAAGCCGCCTCCAGCTTCATTCTTTCCAAGGGAACCTTGAATGTACCAATGTTTTCCCACCAGGTACGCTGCTCAGTGCTCGCAGGCCTGTCTTTGAGAAACAAACCCTTGCTGGGAAGCGTCCCCTATTCGTGGGTTGAGTTTTTTCTGGGCGCCATGGACCCCACCGAGGGACCTCTTAGTCGCGAACCCCTTTCCGACACGGCCTTGAGGCTTTGTGTCACTCATGAAACCCCCGGTTAGAGCTTCTACGATGGCAAAAACTTAGGATGGGCACCCCGTAGCCATGGGCACCCGAAAGCTCTAGGGAACGATCTGAAACAAGAGGCTTAAGTGGTCCGGGTAGCCATCCGGGGTTGCTTGAATCCTTCCTTCGGCATGTGAAAGCTGAAGTATACATCTCTGCTTTCTGCTGGGTCCATGAAAGTGATGAGTGACTCATGTTAGCAAGAATGCTCAATTCTATATGAGCGAAATACGTGCACATATAGTCACAACGAAATATGTGTTCCAAAAGCAAAAAATAACGCGCACAATCTGTTCACTCATCAACTCTATCAGTCCATGTATGTGTATATCTGACGGAACAAATTGGGTCATGAACATAAGCGTTGGCTCTTGCATCATATGATCGAAGTGGACGCTAACGTGGGGACTAAGGTGTCATGACTAAAGGTGTAAATGCGAATTGTACGACAAACAAGTGATCAACCACAATAGCAAAATAGATACATCCATCCTATTGTCGCCCTCTAAATGGTGGTTAAAGCAACCACTTCAAGGGGCACAGCTGAGGCATGGGAGACTCTGATCTTTGCCCTGGGCCGCTCATTTCGCTGAAGGGGGAATAGGGGAACTCCGCACTGATGGACGAAGTCCTACACCCCTTGAGAACCAGTGAAACCACAACGTTTATTGGTCGTTTATTGGTGTTTACTGGGGAAGCGACTCATTCCAGGGTTTCTTCAGGTGGTGCAGGATTTCGTCCACAGTGTCAGGGGTGCCACGGTCAAAGATCGGCATGCATGGGCCGATAGACATGGCTCTTCAATACAAATCCTTGCATAATCTCTATTCAGAGGAAGATGACCGGCCCGAACAACCCCAAGTAGAGTGTTTTGACCATGGCACATGTGAACGACTCTAGGGCTGCTGAAACCATTTTGCCTTTCTGCATCGACCCAGCAATTGAACCCGGCCGAATGACATGGTTGATGAGTCCAAAACGGGATGCTGGTTGATGGAAACACCGGCAAGAAAGGCCGAAAGGGTGCAGAACTGGATACAGCAAAGATCCCATGGAACGAGCCACGAAGGTTGAAAAGTTGAAAAGCTCATGTTGACCCCATATTTATAACAACCTCGGGAATGTCCCTGGTAGTGCAGGTTGAACAAGCTGTAATCATTCATCAACCCAAGCTTATGAATTGGGGGGGTGTCCCTGTGTTGTTTTTCAGTGGGGAATCATCACTATTGGAGGGGAACACCCCAATATTAAAAAAGCTGGGTTGACGAATACGGGGTCAACAATAGCAGTGAGCCAGGCTTCGCAGTTCGCAGAAAGTCGGGCACCAAATGAAGCTTCTGCCTGACCAAGCTCCGCAGCTCCTTAACCTCCCGACTCATGCGCCAGCCGGGAGCAGTCCAGCCGGGAGCGGTCCAGCCGGGAGCGGTCCAGCCGGGAGCAGTCCAGCCGGATGGTTCCGCATTTCCCGGCCCAAAAATCTCCGTCGCGCTGCGTCATCCGGCTTTTGCCCATCGGAATCGGAGGACTTAGATCACCATCCCAGAGTAGCTTACCCCAGTTGGGAAGTGCCTGCGGGCTTTAGAGACCGAACTAGACTGGGGGTAACCACTCATCTGGGATGGCCATACCGCGAAGCCACGAGTTCTGAGCCGCGACTGCAAAGGCATCCACTACCAACCATAAGTTTGGGGCAACGCCAACGGCACAAGCGCCCCACAGGAAAGCTCTGAAGGGGTTCTGACTTGTGAAGGGCTCGCGGATTCTCACCAGTTTCAGGAAATGGCCAGATGTGTCTTTGTCTGGCATGCTGTGCCGCTCAGACCGATCCAACTGACAGAAGCACACCTGGTAGGGGTCTTCTCCATTCTTTCCAGGGATCATTCTTTTCGAAAAAGGACCAACCAGTGGACGAAACGAACAGGGAATCAACCCCATACCCTTGGAGACGACAGGCAGACAATGGGCCAAGAGTGGTCTTCCCTCGGGCGATTTAAAGCACGCAGCGAGGCCCGGCGAAAGGTCAAGCCCCACTGGAGGCCAGACCCCAAAGTGGGAGAATCGCAACTTGTGATCATGTCACAGAAAGCTTCGGGTTTAGGGTTTAGGGTTTAGGGGTTGAGTCAGAATCAAAACCCGGTACACAAATGGTCTACCCAAACCAATGTAGGGAATTGAAAAGAGGGCCGCACCTAATTCTGGCTGGGATTGTCACTTACTGCCCTGCAACTACCCGGGTTTTGACTGAGGCTCATTCGTTGCATTGGCAATTCAAACCATCTAGGGAAATAAGGCTATATAACCCTTTAGGGCATCGACTACAATGAACCAACAAGGGACAAAATATGTCATAATCAAAACCCTGTATGAAAATGGCCTACCCAGAGCCACGCCAAGAAGTAAGAAGGTGGATATCCGCGTCTATTCATGACCTTCATCTACCCGGGTTTTGAGCAAGTGGCTCAAACAGTAGGGAGCTTAGAATAACTTGGTACCACTTGTTTCAGGACATCTATTTTAGTAGTGGACCCCTCCCAACCCCCCCCCAAAAAAAAACAAAAACAACATGGGGTTAACACTTGGTTGACGTTGGAAGGGGAGCAAAAACATATTGTTTAGCAGTTAAGTGGGGATTTCCCAATAAACCACAATAAGCAAAAATGTAAAATGTTCCCAACAACAACCATGAACAAGGGCACCTAGGGGGGACCTAGTAAACCAAGTCCAGCAAGCAACTCCTTCCCGTGGCTCGGCTCTCGGCTCACACTGCTCCGTGGCTTCGTCGTCCGACCTCGAGCAGAACTCAAATTTCGGCCCGGGGCCCCGAAGGCCCGCTAAGAATCATGGGGGCCTGGGGGGGAGGGGGGGGAGGGAGCTCAAATAAGCCCTTGTTAAGCCCTTAATCAATAAGGGCTTATTTGGGCTCCCTCCCCCCTCCCCTCCCTCCCCCCCAGCCCCCATGATAAGAAGCGTTGAAGCCTTCGGTCTCTGCTGGCCCAAAGGGGCTTCTCAGAGCCCCGAAGGCGCTTGAAAAGCAGCCCGCACGTCCCTTATCATCCCACACGTGTTTCTGTTGGTACCTGCCATATTGAGCCTTGAATCGAGGCTCTTGGTACCAAGGAATATTGGCAGTCATGTGGTCCGGTACTTTCCTTTGCATGCATCTTGGGTGCATTAAAGGCAAATTACATGCCACCAATCATTTCGAATATGCTTTGCAAGGGTTGCAAACCAGCTTAGCTTGGAAAGCTTGCGAACTTTGAGCTGCGTGCTGTCTTCCTTTGGCTAGAACAAAAGACGATGCCTAGGACTTGAACTGGTTAGGTTTCGAGCTCACCGATTCATCATTCGGGTATGAAATGAGCGCGCCCCATGGAATCCACTAACTTGGGCATTATCATTGTTGACTGCTGCCTTTAGGTCAATGGAGGTTGGGGTTAAAACAGTGGAGGGCGGGGTGGGGATGCAAGGTCCGGAGTGAGATTTGCACGCTGGCATTGCCAGTGATGCATGTAGGGGATGCAGACTGGTGGTGGGCGATGCAGACTGGTGATGCAGGGGATGCGGGCTGGATGCTCCCAGACTTGGCCTTGGTTGATTTCCGTGATGGGTGAAGCAAGAACCAGCACACTGGCTGAGCACACATTGACATCAGGCAGCACCATAGGTGTCCTTTTGGGGCAAATATATATATATATATATATATATATATGTATATATATATATATATGGCCGATTCAACCACCAGGTAAACCAGGAATCGCCATCTATTTTTCCACCAAAACAACCCAAGAGGACACCTATGGGCAGCACTGGCCTCTCAAACAAACGAGCCCGTCCGGACCGGAGACAAAGATCCGCCCTCCGAGGCGCCTGTTCTTCATCCGCGCCAACCTCGCCCTCAGCTCCGCGTTCTCCGCCTCCGTGGACCGTGCCTCCAAGTCGCCTCAGGGCAGCTCATCCTCACACAACGATACGTATATATATATATATATATATATATGTACATATGGGCTAAACAACTCGAATGGGGACCTGAGGTAGGGGATCTGGAGCTGCATAAAACAATCTGAAGGTATAATCATAGCATGATCGTCAAAAATGGCCCCATGTTCATGAGGTAGTTTGGTTTTCGAAGTACCCCGCATCCCCCCATTTCTCATTCTTTAGGCCCTTCTCAGAGGCTGCTTCAACTTTAGTCCACCTGAATCTATGAAGTCATATCTGTAAGCCACATCTGCAAAGCAATTCCAACTGAAAGGGATGCGAAAAGTTGTTCAGGGATTCCAGCTGACCCCCAAGGTTTCCCGCCTCGCACAGCCCACCCCGGTGAACAAGCCCCAAACGCCAGAAGCCGACCCTTTCCCTCGCCTTGTACAACCGTACAGCCCCTGTCCCCCCAAACGCCGCCCCCAGAGGCCAAGGGGCGCTTCAAGAGCACCTTGTTCGCCTGCACGTGCTGCCGCGCCAGCAGCTGCTGCTCCCGATGCCTCCGCGCCTGGCGATGCGTTTTGGGCGTAGGTCGAGACCTTCCCCGGGGGCCACTGTGGATGGACGCGAAATCCATCCGCACCACTTGGAAACTGAGAGGAAAATCGAATCATTCCAGGGTTTCTTAGGTGGTGCGAAATGGATTTCGTCCATCCTCTTCTATTGCCCAAGCGAAAACAAATATTGCCCAAGACAACTAGGTCCTCCAGTAGAGAGCTTAGAATCAGTTGGTACCATTTTTTCTTTTTTGTCTATTTTAGTAGGGGAACCCTCCCCCAAAAAAGGGTAAAAGGGCACTACTGGGGGACCTAGGAAACATCTGAAACCGAAAGGCGCTTCGCGCGGGAACTTGTCGTCAAAAGGAAGGCGGGGTTGGGTGGTGGTTTGGAAGGGGAGGAAGGGGCAAGTTGAGGTGGGGTGAAGAGGCTGAACAGAGAAGGGCCCCCTTGTTCAAACCCAAACAAACCTGAAAGGCAAATCCCAGAGGGCAGTTTGATGGCTTCGTTTTGGACAAGTCTGAACGCCTCAACTCCAACTCCCCAACTCGAACCGTACAAAGGGTGCTGACGCCACCCTTTTAAGCTCATGGGTTTGTCTCCAAGGGAAGCCAACATGGCCAAGTTTCATCTTGGATTCCGTTTGAAACGCTCGTTGTGTAGCGCTTACCCTCCAAGTGGCCGTTCGCATAGGCAAAGGGCACCCACCAGCCCAACCCCGCCCCCCCAAACCCCCCAAACCCCCAATCCCCCCAAACCCCCAATCCCCCCTCCCCTCCCCCAATCCCCCCTCCCCACCCCCAGTCCCCCCCTCCCCCGGCGAGGTGCCGAAGTGTTGGTCTGCTTCCGCAGCTCCCCGATCTGCGCCCGCAGCTCCTGGTTCTCGATCTGGCAGGCCATGGCCATCCTGAGACGCCAAAAAAAAGTTCTCGCGCGCGCGGAATGCCAACGCCAGAGACAAACGTCCCATAGGCTGGGAGTCCAAAATGTAAACGTGGCAACTGCTGAAGGCACTGGACCAGCTGATTCCCCAAATATGGCTCTGGGTAAATCGAACCAAAGACTAAAACCCGCGTAACCCTGGCTTTTCAACCACCCAAATGGCTACAAGTCAAAAATAGGGTAACCCCAACATGGCTTGCCCGGGTAAACGGAAACATGGACTAACATCTGCGGTCCAATTCCTGGTGGCGTAATTTTGACCCATGCCCATTTGGCTACGTGTCATGAAACAGGGGAACCATTGGTTGGTGGTGTCAGCAGCTCTTGTGTCCAAATTCTATGGTGGACTCCCATCGTTGGCTTCCTTTTGGCTTCCTAGAGCTCTAGACTCCCCCAAAAACGGGGGGGGGGGGAAAAAATGGAGAAAGTAGGGGGCCTGGGGGGTGGCCTGTTGATGGTTGCCTGTTATGGTTTTTATGTTCATCTCAAATCTGTGTTCCCCCTTATTCGTTTTTAATAGAGGGTTTTTGGGGAGCTTATTTATCGTTTTGTTAGAGGTGGAACATTTGGGTTTTTGTTGCCTTGTTCATTGTTGGGCTGGGGGCAAACATTTTTTTCATTTGAAAGAGGTAGCCCTTTTAGTAGTTATCAAGTTCTGGGGTGTTGGTGGGTCGTTTGTTTCTTTGACGTTTATCTCTACAATTATTTATTTTGTTCTACACTCTTGACAATATTTATATCTTCTTCCACTTTTTACATTTCCAAATTCATCAATTGTTTTATCATAAAGGCATCTGTTACATTTGAAGAATTCACCAAAGTCTTCTTTTGCTTTTTCTTCTGTCATTCCATAATTATTCATTATAGTTTGCTTCACAACCATTCTTAATATATCTTAACAACTTCTTTTTATGTGATTTTTATGTGATTGTCTAGCTATGTTTTATAGGTTAAAAGTTCAGTATAATTATAACATATAAGATTTTACATGTTATTATTATATTATGATTATAATTTCAGTTCAGGATAATAATCTAATTGGTTTGTCTTACTTCTTTCATACATCATTTTAAAAATAATATTAACATCTCTCACTGTATTCTGAACATTAAACTTTTTACTTTCAATAAATAATTTGATATTTTCTTTAACATCTTCTCCTTTCTCTTGACTATAACCCAACATCCATAATATATCGTAAATCGTGTCATATTTTTTCTTACTGATTTTAAGAAACTGTTTAACACAATCGTAAGGTGGTATTTTATTTACAGTTAGAAATATTAAAATATCATCTTCTACATTTCTATTATGTATTCTTTTTATTCCCAACAGACATTTGATTAAAAATTGATTATCTCTCCAAGTTTTACAATTTTTACATATGTCTTCTTCACCATCCATTGAATAATTAATAATATTATTCACTATTTCATTAGGTAAACTCAATTTATACAATTCCATATTTTCTTTTTTGAAGTGACAACAATCATAGCATTTTTTATCGATATAATTATTGATTCCATCACCGTTCATTTTTCTCTTAATATATAAGCTAATATTTCTTTAAGTAGTTTTGGCTAGGGGGTTGCTGGTCGGCTGGTCTGGGTTTCAGGTTTAATTTAAATGTCTTAACCTTCTTGTTAGATTATAAAACAATGTTTAACCATATTATAATTAAATATTATGAATAAACTAATTCACTTATCCTCTCCATAGTCCTATTCCACCGTATCATTATTCAATTACTCTCATTTCAACGAGACACGGTCCCCTATTTTGGGGACACCCAGTCCCCCATTTTGGGGACACCCAGTCCTCTAATCCCCCGTTTTGGGGACACCCAGTCCCCCATTTTGGGGACACCCCGTCCCCCATTTTGGGGACACCTTGGAGACCCCACGAGATGATTAACTCGGTTTTCATTCCAAACTACAGAGGATGTCTAACACTAATTCAAACGGTATTTTATATAATTCTTCCTGTTTATGAAATATAGGATTATCACCCCATTCCGCCTTAGTTTTTGGTGGCAAGCGTTGAGCAGTTTCTAAATGTTTCCCATTTCTTATCTTACCACAATCCCTTTTACATAATGGTCTGGGTTTCCATGTTTCAATGTTTGACCACAACCTCGTTCGCTTCCTGTAGTTCATGCCATATTTACATGTATCCACATCATAGTAGTTTAAACCACTCATAAAGGGTTGTTCCTTCAAAAGTCCAGTTTGAGGGTTCTCTATTATCCAGTATTGACAATTGAAATACTTTATTACTTCCAACGTTTTTAAAACAATACTATTAGCGTAATCTATTTTTCTAACCCCAGTTGTTTTAGCTCTGCTGTATTCGGTGCACGGAGGAGATGCCCAAATAAAATTGAAATGGTTTCTGTCAAACTGTTTGTAGTCCCATTCAAGTATATCACAATTAATATCAGCATTTTTCAAATCTAACGATATAACATTATAACCGAGCGACTTTGCTACAACCCCAACCGACCCTGTCCCGCTAAACATCTCTAATAAGTTCATTATTATTAGAGATATTTAGATATTAATATGTTTGTTTTTGTATCGTATGTGTTTCTCGCTTCTCTCGTGTTTTCTAATATCACATTTTCTAACAACACTACCACACTCACACTCAATAGTTTCTTTTCGCTTTTCATTAATGGTTTCTTTGTTTTGGTGGTAGTATTCATGACTTTTTTTAGATATACGTTCTTTGTTTTTTTCTGAGTATTCCTTTCTCATTTGCTGGTAGTGTTCTTGATTGTCTTCTTTCCATTCATTGAAGGTTCTTCCAGCAACACATCTATTAACACAGTCAGTATTTTTGATATGATAACCCTCCTGTTTCAGTAATTGTTCTCGGTTTTCACATGGGTAATTTTCTATTAATTCAATCTTACAATTGTCCATTCCATATTCATCAAACAATAAACGACAAGTCGTTTTAGTATTCCATTCCTCTGCTTTCTTATGATTTTGCCTATGTCGTGCCATTCTTTGACTTAAGTTCTCGCAAGTGCTTCCTATATAGCATTTGTTATAACCTATATCAGTTATTTTGTAAATCTTCGCATTTTTGTATTTACTGCTTTCCATCTTATACTATCATAAACTATCTTCTCTTTAACGCAGTTTGTAATGACCGTAGGGTAAAGAAGTAAAGGCATCTAAGTAATGTCTTTTATTTTCAAAATTACTCAAGCTCTGCTTAACTTGAGACATTGAGAATAACTGATGGTTTCGACTACGAATAAAATTATATGTTATTTCATGCTTTTTGTTTTGAAATAATGCTTCGTGATAGTTTTGATACGACAGTTCTTTCTTCACCTTATGTTTCACTACACCTTTTGATTTTTTATGTTCATCATCCTCGCCATGGATAGTAAAAGCATATGACTTGGGTTTGAGTGCTATGAATTTGGTAATTACTTTTCCGTTGCATTCATCCTTGAAATAACCGAGTTTTTTCTTATTTGTTTTATCGTGGCATGGATGTTCTACTGGATAATCGCTAAAGTCCATATATTGACTTAATTCTTTGAAGTCCTTATAAACATCATCAGTCATTGTTTGAATTACATAACTGTCAGTATCAGTATATATCAATTTGATATTTTCATTATACTTCTTTTTCAATACATCATAATAAAACTGATACATATGCAATTTGCTTAAATCTAAAATGCTCATTCCTAGGAAAATCGGTTTGTCCAGTTTCAGTTTCGCTTTAGTCTTCTCCACACCTACAAGATTTTCATTTATTATAAATCTGTTTTTGAATGTTGGGTTATTCACACATTTTTCATATCTAACTTCATTATCAACTAATTCAAAATCCATATGGTTTCGCTTGTCTTCCATGGTTTTTCCGTATATGCTATTATTCATTAATTTGAATAAATCTTTCTCAAAATCGCTTTTGGCTTCTTTCCTTTTACCAGTGTTGAAATCAATCCACGGTTTCAACCATGCCCTCTGTTGAAATTTGATTATCCTATGGACTTTACCCATTTTCATTCCCATTTTCAAATAATACTGTAAAGTCTTAATATGAACCACATATTTTTCTTTATCCTTTAGATTTAATATTAACTTACTTGTTTTCTCGTCCTTGGGACTTTTACCATCATAATATATTTTGAAGACTTGCTTTTGATAATCGGAAAGCATACTAACATTTACATTCATTATTTCAGGCGCTAGTGGATAGTCAGAGTGGAAGTCGTGCAATGTTTCGGGATATTCCAAATCAACTTCCATAATATAACCGAACTCATCGTTTTCATTCCATTTTTCAACAATGGGAGTTTTCTTTGCCCACTTGATATTTTTTAGCGGTAATTTCTGGGACATTGCTAAACCATACAAGTTATTAGCATCCAAGTAGCTAATATAATTTGATGGCTTGTTCTCATCATATGCTTCCCCCATATACTTATTATTTGCCACCGCTAATTTATGACTACCTGACACATACCACCTCTCATTCCCTTTTCAACCATCTCAAACATTTCTTGGTCATGCAATTGTTCTATTTCAACACCAGTTTTTAGAAGCATCGCGTCCCATGCGAAATTTGGCAATGTGTAATAATGAGCGGGGTCTAAACCGTAGTATTCCATACACAAGTCTCTAAAGTTTTCAAATACATCGGTCAGTAGTAAAACATCAGTTCTTAAATACAAGTCGTGATACTGCCCGAGTGTTCTAATCCCGAAGTGCTTCCATACTTTCAGTGCCCTTTCATAATCTTTATCGCTTACATGTTCTTCACTCAATTTACTGTAAAACGCTTCTTTCGGTGGTAAAGCCCTTTCCTTAAATCTTTCAAAATCATCAAAGTAGTCATAGGGATAAATACCCTTATCAGTCAATAAATCCAAATCTTCATCGGTTTTAACATACGGGTTTCTAACGCTGTATCTGAAATTGTTCTTCCAATTCTCAC